TCCTTGGAAAATGAAAATGAAATTGCAATTCCATCTTTTCATTTTTTGAGTGTTTGATTGGCAAAAAATTCCTTGGAATTCATTTTTCACATTTTCATGCCACATAGACATTTTCTTTTATTTATTTATTTATTTATTTATTTTGTTGGCAACAGAAAAAAATTCTAAGAATTATTGTAAACAAAATATTTCCTTTTAATTGGCAATTTCCATATGAAACAAAAGAAAATGAATAACAAAAGTTAGATAATTTTCTTAAATTTTATTTTTGGGCAATGGAAATAAATTTCATTTCCAATACCAGTAAAATATATCCCTTCAATTGACAGTTTTCATGTAAAACAAAGTCAAACGAACACCAAAAAACACTTTTATTTCAACATTTTTCACGTGAAAAATTATACCAATCAAACACAATAATTTACAATTCTCAGAAAAGCAATTTCTAGACAATTCAATTTCCTGGAATTCGTTTTCTTTCCACCCAAATTTCATCTTTGGAATCAATCGAACTCTTATAGTATATTATTCGTGGAAGATAGAACAACATTGAGTTGTCGATATGTTGCCTTTTGCATGAATTTTTAGTTATGTATCTTTATGAATTGTAGTAAATAATGTATTCATCTTAAACTTTGTAAATTTTATTTTCTACATCGAGTGTCAATAAATATCGGGATGAGTTCCTGATGAGTTATTTAGCCCTTGTTTAATCTTCATTCTCTTTAAAATATAATTTTCTCTCATCTTTTCAACCACACATTTTTCAATAAAATAATATTATACATGGATTCAAAATTTTTCCTTATTTTTTAACTACACATTTTTCATTAATCTACTATTCTAAAATACATTATTAGAAAATAATGAGGCTCTAAACCATGAGACCAATCTATCATTGTTAGGTGAATGGACAATTTTACCGCTATAAAAAGATTATTTGTTTCTCATTTTTGGAAGAATGAGAATGAAAAATGTAGTCGTTACGGGCTCCATACAAGAGATAGAAATTCAAATTTGGTAGTTTAATGTGATGGATAACGATCATATTTTTCATTTTAATGAGGAAGAAATGAGAACCAAACAAGGGTTATAATATCATTATATTTTGCGAAATAAGAATGAGTTTTGCTACATGTACACTGGGATTGACACTCCGGTGTAAACTCCCCTCCCATGAGGGGATTCCAAGATTTTTTTTATTGTCGTGGGGTCCATCCCCTCATGTGAGGAAAGTGTACATCGAAATGTCAATATCGATGTACAAATAGCATTTTCCAATAAGGAGAGTTTGCTTTCCTTTAGAGTGATTAGGTCCCTGTATTTGTGCCACAAAGGTTTTCTTGCCGTCATCTATCAACCATATATAAAATGTGTGGATTTATGAGAATCATTTAAGGGACACATTTGTCCCCATATATTTTTTTACTTGGTCAACAATGCCCTTAATCTCTATTATTATTAATAACATTAATAAAAGAAATACTATAGAATTGAATTAAATTAAATTAAATTAAATTATAACTCCTCCAATCATGTGATAAATAAATTCAAAACTGAAAGTCCAATATTGTTTGTCTTAAAATTGAATCAATTTTGAATTTTTTTTGTAAACTTTCTTAGTGAGGTTTTGATGAATTGAGAAACAAGGAGAAGAGTTCAGAAATCCTCATATTTTTGGCGTGTTCTTGCTACTGAATTTCTTACTTTGCTGGGTTTTTCTTTACTTTATTTCACGTTTTGGTTAACTTTGATACTTTTTGGACTAAAAAAAAAAATTGGGTCTCGATCAAATTTTGAATATTTAGGAATTTTTCATGGAAAGTTTATTGATTTTCTCCTATATCACTACATATATATTATTTTTAATTCGGTAGTTTTCTAAATACCCTTTTGAAATAGGATATATGGAAGCAATGGGAGATGGTGTTGATTATATTAAATTTCATATTTTTCATTGTTTTTGTCGAAGAAGTGAGTTAGAAAATGCTAAGAAAGTTTGGAATCAAATGTAGATAAGCTCTTTTTGAATCCGAAGAAGAGACATTTATGGACGAGCATACAAATAAAAATAATATTTATTTCTTTTTAGACTTCAAGCATGTTTGAGTAAGTATAAGTAGAGTTCTCTTTAAACTAATTTTTAATTCCAAGTATATTTGAACATATAATTTTTAATAAAAAAAAAATAATTATTATTATTATTATTTTGAAAATCAAGTCTTACGTTCCTATTTAAATAAGAATTTTATATATTTTCAACTCTTAAACTTAAATCATTAAAAACTGTTTATTTTATAATTATTAGTAAATTTATTCATAAGTATAAAAATTGGTCAACAATTCTCTTTATTTCTAGTATTATTAACAACATCAATTAATTGATAAAGAAATACTAAAACTTAAATTTAAATTATAGCTTCCAAAATCCTGTAATAAATGTTGAAAAAAATGAGTAAATAGCTTACTTTGGCAAAATTTTCGATGGAACCCGTTGGTCCAATTTGAAAGATCAAAGTTGATCTGTGTTCTCCTCCGTGAGAGCATGAAGATAATATATTTACTTGCCAAAATTGATGAATGGATGAATGAGAAATTAGAGCTCAAAGTTGACCATTGGAAGATGGACATCAATTAATTGATAAAGAAATACTAAAACTTAAATTTAAATTATAGCTTCCAAAATCCTGTAATAAATGTTGAAAAAAATGAGTAAATAGCTTACTTTGGCAAAATTTTCGATGGAACCCGTTGGTCCAATTTGAAAGATCAAAGTTGATCTGTGTTCTCCTCCGTGAGAGCATGAAGATAATATATTTACTTGCCAAAATTGATGAATGGATGAATGAGAAATTAGAGCTCAAAGTTGACCATTGGAAGATGGTTTATGTGGGAAAAATGAGTTTATCCCACATAGGAAAATCATGAAAGCAAGAACCACTTTATATATGACTACACTTTGAAAGGGAGTAATCATATATAGCATAGAGACTTTCTCCACGTGCGTGCGCAGGGAGTGCAAATCAAGGATCGAAATAGCTTTCGGATCGTGAACTTGTATGCGGGCACGACCTGTGTACACCAATGTCGAATCGAACGGAGCAAAAATTAGCCCGTTTGGAGTGTCCACATTCTGCAATTTTTTTATTTCTCCAACTGACTTTTGAGTGTCTGAAACTGCTAAAACTCCAGCAGAACCTGAAGTGACTCCAATGTTTATTGTCATAGAGTTAATGACAGATTTATCTTATATTAAATCTCAATTTTCCAAAAATTTCTTACACACCAGAAACACGAAAATATACTGCATATTATTCTGTCTACATTCGTCTTGATGGTGATATTGTTCGAATATTAACTCAGTTCGTCTGAATAGTTTTTGCAGTGCTCGAATTCTACTGATTTACCGTTGTATTTTGAGAAACAGATGCTCGGATTAAATTTCAAGCACTTACGGTGAGGAGACGAATCTGTTTTAAGGAAACTGTGCTCGCACAGACTTCGGGTTGAAAGTTCATCCGTTCTTTAATATTTTTGCAATTTATTCGTGTGTTTCATATAATTTGCAGTTTTATTATGTTGTCGTTCTATTTATATTTATTAAAATTAATCTGCATTATTTGGCCAACTAGATTGATTTGATCAAATTAATTTGTTGATCCTATTGGAAATTAAATCTGCTAGATTTTGTCTTGTTCGACTTGCGAATTCATATGCATTTATATTCCTTTTATGCTTCATATATTTTAAAGTTTATTATTTTCTGCTTACGCTAAAAATCTGAGTATGTTTATATTAAAAATAAAAATTTGGAAAATTTTTATTGACATTCCGTTGAGTAAGTGCATATACGATGTTCTGCAATTTCGGTATTTGTAAGTGAAAGAAAAACACGGTATCTAAATGAGTAAAGACAATATGTGCAAATATAATCAAATACATATACGGTAGGCAGCATATACATCATATACGTTATGCTTACAATCGATGTTTAAATTACATATACGGTATGTATTAATTCGATTTCATCCACTATACTAGATTCCAACAATAAATAAATTCAAATCTGAAATTCTCGTGTTCTCTGTCTTATAATTGAACCAATTCACTATCATATATTATTATTTACACATTTTCTCTAAATACCATTTTGAAATAGGACACGCGGAAGGATAAACGGGAGATGATGTGTATTCCATTAAAATTCACTCTCTTTTTTTGTCAAAAAATTGAGTAAAATTCGAAGAAATTTTCGAATCAACAGTGGATAAGCTCTCTTTCAATTCGAGGAAGAGAAACTAATGAGAGCATACAATAAAAATAATGTGTATTTCTTCTTCAAGCATAAATTAAGTAAATTTCACCTCAAATTCATAAGTAAACTGTTTAAGGTAGTTAAAAAGAATTATATGGATAAGACATAACTAAAAGAAAAAGAGAAACAAAAATGAACAATTTCAATTACACAATACATAACGATTAGCCACCACTCATGAAACCAACTGCTATTAGCCATTGTTTGACAATTATACTTTTTAAATTCTTTTTTTTTACATATTCATTTTCAACCACACATTCACGCAAGAAAAAATTTTGCACGTAAACTCAAAATTTTTCCCTACTTAATCATATATTCTCCTAAAAATAAATATACACCTTTTAATATATATATATATATATATATTGTTATCAAACAAGGGCTAATATTCTCCCTTTTACAAAGGTGAAAAATTTATGTATTTAGTCATCAAGAAATCTTTGTTTTTCAATATTTAGTTGGAAATAAACCATTCACGGTATGTTTGGCAAAGAAAGCTAAATAATACTGGATAATTTTAAGAATGAAAATGAAGTTAAAGCCTTGTAATTATAACGTTCAATCCTACCCCAAAAGCTAATGCCATGTACATGAGACTTGCCACAGTATTATCAGAACAAGATGTTACGAGTACTCGTACGAACATATAAAATATGCATTCCTAATCAAGAGTCGAGCAACAAAATCTTGAAAATTTTAATTCCCTTTTATAGAGATTAAAAATTGCAATCAATTCGAGTCCGTAGTACCAGCATTACTCAAACGCCGGGATAAAAGAGAACTGGAAGCTGCTATATAGCTACAAAGAGTAACTGGAAAGAAATAAAAGATCGATGCTCCCAATAAACATGTTCATGCCTTATTGTTTTCCTCGTTCATACAATGCCAAGAACATCAAGAACTTGAAAAACCAAATCACAGAATTCTATGAGATAAACCTCCATAAGAAACCAATGAAAACCTATAAATGTATTCACCCTAGAAGTTATTCGAACCAACTTTACTGTGCAAAGGTCAAGTTTGAGATTTTCCCATGTTACTTCAAAAGGAGAAGGCAATTTAAAGAAAGAAAGTTTTGATTTGGTTTTAAAAGATATACCCAAGACGACCTCAAAGAGAGTAGTCGATCGAATCTTGAAGAAAATCTGGCAATCCTTCTGATCATCCTCCAAGTGAGAGGGAGAAAAAAGTTGAAAATAGAACTTGCAAGAAAATCTGGTGCATCTGGGATTCAATCCATCAGAGAGAAAGGCACCTGATCTGAATGTACAGACAGTGCATCGAAACACAAATGATCAGCATCCCATCACAGCACAATTGTAAACAAAATTGCCAGATTGCTTTCTGCCGAGCAAAACCCATTGTGGCAGACCATCACTTGGAACCCACGAATTGACTTCAATATATCCTTGACCGACAGTCCGAGGCCCCCCAATTACAATAAGCTTATCGCCACATGCCCTAAATGCCAAACCCCAACCATTCATAGAATCAGCTCGTTCTGGCAAACTTCCTACGGTAGTCCACACTTTATTATTCTTGTCATATTTTCTCAGTGACATGTCAGCATAATCAGCGGCATACAATTGATTATTTACAACAGCAATCAATGGCGGTGCTTCAGAAGAAGCAGATAGATTGAATTCCCTGGACACATTAGTCCGCACTGGGGACATGTTAGGTATTTCAGTCCAAGTTTCGGTTTCCAAATTATATTCCTCCCCACATGTAAGAAGCTTTGACTCGGTTCCTCCGATTCCTCCAATCACATAAAACTTTCCGTCCATGAACACCCCGGAACACATTTTCCTCGGTTTGTTCATGCTTGGGAGCGTCCTCCAAATTCCCAACTCAGAATTGTAGAGCTCTGCAGAACTGAGGATAGTGCCACGCGAGTTGCAACCACCAGCTAATATTGCGATCTCCCCCAGGCTGGCAGATCCAAACAAACACCTAGGCTCGTTCATATTTAATCCAGGCGACCACGTGTTGGTCAGCAAAGTATACCGGTAAGTTATATGAGACATGAGATCCCATCCAAAAACAAGAAGCTCAGTACCAACAGCCAAAGATTCCTTATCTGCAAACACGAAACAGCCATTAGGACTCATACTTGGTAAATGCATCCAACGGCGACGACTCGGGTCAAATGCTTCCCATTCGAGAAGCCCACAGGAGAAATAAACCCAGTGCTCGACCACGCCATTTTCCCTCCTCCACCTATAGAGCTTGCCACTTCTAATGAGTGAACGGAAACTACTGTTTAAAGATGCAATGGCACCGTAATCAGCTCTTGAGGATCGAATGAGACAACTAATAGAGTTGTCACGACCAATAGCAGCAATCAAAGAACTCGAATCAGAATTTTCTCCTGTTTGCCGCTTGTTACTGGATTGGTCAGAAGTGGACATTAAAAACCCACCAAGTGATAAAGATGTATCTACAAAGATTCCCGAATTCCTAGACACCTTTCTGACAACCGCTTCTTTCTCTCCGACTGTTTCTAAAGGTCGCTTCCCTTGCTGAAACTCAATTTTTTCCAGCCGGTGATTCATACAAGGCCAATTGCTTTCTTTTTCACAGGTCCTGGGATATTCCCTTGAGACCAAACGAACCCTGTCTTCCACCATGCCTTACTGATTTGATGGCAAAAGAAGCACCTCCTTTTTATCGAAACCACTCTAAATCCTTCTTTCTTCAACAACTGCAATCCACTGATAAAAATGGATAACCATATATCCGAAATCCCAGATACAATGAAGAAATTTTCAAACTGCGGAAAAGAACCACACAAACATAGCAAACAACTTATCAAGTGATAAAATAGAAAACTTGGGGAATTGTACCACTATACGGGGTTTTCCATTGCTACCAATTACCCAACGAAATTTTCATTCAGTAAAAGTGCCTCTGTCACAGTTAAGCATTTTGAAAAACCACATCAATTACGGTTTCTGATCCAAATTCAATAAGACTATTAATCTAGATCAACTGATTATCAATAAAAGAACCATATTCCAATAAATTTTAAAACTAAATTAGTCAAAATGACTTCTCAAACAACAAAATTCATCAATTGGCAGAGAAAACCAGATTAAAGAACACCATAAAATCAAATCTTTCGAACAAATAAAACATGACAAATTCCACAAAGCAGCCCAGATCTCAATAATTCAGATCAAACGATACCCAGCTGCCAAAATCTTGTTGCAATCAAAGCTTTAATATTGCAATCTTTTTACAAATAAAACCAATTAAAATATTCAGATTAGATCCGTCTATACTCTTTTAGGATTAAAAGAAAAAAAAAACCTCGATTACTGTTCAAGAGAATAACAAGAAAGCAAACGGAACAAAAAAAAAAAAAAAAANTCCAGTCTATAATTATGTATGACTTGTGGATGTATGTAGTGTGTGTGTGTGTGTGTGAGAGAGAGAGAGAGAGAGAGAGAGAGAGAGAGAGAGAGAGCGATCTTCTCTTTTTCGTTTTTCTTGGGAGAAATCCTTCGGATTCTCTCTGTAAATCTAAGCAAAGGCTTTGAGGCGTAATCTCTGAAGGGACGCTCTTTATCTACCTCAACCTCTTGGCTTTCCTTTTTCTCTTTCTTTCATTCATTTTCTTATTTGTTTATTTTTTTACTAAAAATATAAGACATCACCATTTACATAATTTTTAAAAAATTGATAGAGTCAAAAAGAAAATGAATTTTTTTTTATTCGGTCAATGAGATTTTGATCTAATCAAATCTCATCTCATTATTTATTGATAAGTAAATTTGTAAATTGCGATGTACATATAATACAACTAAAAATAAAAGTTGAACTTTACTTATGAAATTATTCCCTCCATTCTATAAAAATATGATTGTCTTTTATTTTTACATAGATTAAGAAAATTTAATTAATATAATTAGAAATATAGATTTTACTTACATTTTTCAAATATACCATTATATTGAATAATAGCTAATTAAAGGTACTTCATATTTGTTAATAACAAAACATATTAAATAACTATATATTAGAAAATTAAAAAATTAAATATCTTCTCAACAAAGAAAGTAACCGAAAATATGGGGCAAACATAAACAGAGAGCAAGTCTATCCTTATGAGATGGATGAAGTATTTAAAAAAATACTAAAAATAATTTTATTGTATAAAAAATCATATTTGATTAAATAAGTAACTTAGAAACAATTTTTTAGATAATGTTTGCTCTTCCTTCTTCTATAGAGGAAGTATTTTGACCATATGAGCATGTTTGATAAGATTATTAGTTGTTTCGTGAATCTGTGTCTTAATCGAATACATGACAGAAATTGCGATGACAGTTCATTTATAACTATGGACGTTAAAGTTGATTTTTTTTTTCCTTTTTTGGGAGAAGAGTCATCGAGAATCAAGTATATGCAATGATAACGTGTGTCTTAAAATGATTAAAAGAGAGGTCGGCTAAGAGAACAATTTTCCCATTGTCTTCCAAGTCTAAATAGAGAACTTTTCCTTTAAATGAAACAAATATATATATTATTGTGTTATTCTAAATAGTAAATGCTAAGCAAAAAAAAAAAAATTGTAGTCAACAAATGGGATTAATTGGACGCGGCGAACCGTGGGGAAAAGATAAATGTTTGTAAGGAAAGTTCAATCAAAATCCACTTGTTTATTGATTAATATAATTTATTTATTTTTTATTTTCCCAAATACCAAAGAAGATATGTTTATGCTTTTATGGAAAGAAATATACGCAGAAATGCGAAGTCGATTTAATTAGAGTGCATCCAACAAAAATGAGTGACCTAATTAACTTGGTCGAAGATGTAAAATTCGATATTGGCTCAAACCTGTTGATGAAAAGGCATTATGTGGAAAACATATATAGAACAAAAGGAGTGTGAAGACCAAATGTTAGGCAAACTCCAGAATTAGGATTGCAATTCATTGAATTTTATGTTCTTTCCACTTATCAACGTGAAGGAATGAGCAATGTGATTGGTCAAAGACGTAAAATTCTCGTGCAGATAAAATTCTATTGGAAAAGTCAATTATGGATTTCGAACCTCCAGTTCTACAACCATGTCATGTTTCACATCAACTCCTTGATTAAAGTCCACCCCATCCGTTAAAGTTGCTAATAAGAGTTGAAACCATAATAGATATTCTTCATTCTACATGGCATCAATAGTGATGTTAAAGTGTGAAAGTTTACAAACAATGCTATGAAAATCGAACTTGATCAGTTGCTTAAGAGAGAGAGAGAGAGAGAGAGAGAGAGAAACCCATTAAAATAAGTGAAGAAAAATCATTTCAAACTTACTAAATTCAATGATCGATTTGATCCTTGATACTTGATGCTTTATCTTTTTCGAGATCAACCCTCAAAATGGTGTTTAGAACATTGGAATGAAGGATTTCAAATATATTTTGCTTCTTTTTCTTTTTGGTTTGTCAAAGTCTAATTAGTAAAAATTTACTTTGAATTGTGCATGAATTCTCATTAATCATTCCAATTTTAATTTCACACATATCTATAGGTTTGAGATATGGCCGGCTTCAAACTTTCTTGCTTAATCACCTTCGAGATAATCATCACATCCTAACTCGTCTCTTCATTCATTTGTTAATCCTACTTTATTTCTTTAAACTTAGTAAAAAACCTTAATTGGTCAAATAATCCAAATATGGTCAATAATTAGAAAAGGCCATCTTGGATAATTACATTTGATCTCGATGTGATCATGTTCTTTGTACTGTTAGGCGCCGTGACACCACCTAATGAAAAAGATAAATTCAATGTACATTACATGAATATGTTTTTGACAGAATTAACAGAATAATATTCGCGAGATGGTTGGCTTGTTTAACTTTGTTATCTTAGAATTTTTATAGAGATTTGTTATTAATGCAAAATATGCTTTTCAAGAGTCAAACGATTGCCGTTCTTTCCATTCTGTCTTTTGGTTCGAAAGTAGTTGACTGTGACAATTCAATTTCAAACAAAGGATTAATTTTAATATTTGTACCCGTAGATTAGTTCAAGCTGAAATAGAAGCAGATTTACTGAAAAAAGTGAAAGGGGTGT